TCGAACCGTCACTCTCGTGGTGACCAGCTACTGACCCCACTATTGGTTCCTTGACAATTCTAGCAACATTTGTGAAGTGTACTAGCAATCTCTGCGGGCATTTGATTAAGCTACCTCCATTGCAGCCCGTAATCTCACTTTGTCCCCAGATTCGAGACAGTTACAGTGGATCCAATGTTTGTTCTATTTTTGAAAGGATTCCTCGCAACCAGACCGTCACCACACACCCAGGAAAACGTCCTGTTGGGACTCGTCAGTAGCGCGCTTCATGTGTTAAACGGGATTCCCTAAAAGTGGATGAATGCTGTATCCGTATTTGAAGTGTTTTGGTTTTGCTCCTCCCAACACTGGCACCCCACGACCGCGGTTTCGTCCTGATTTGGACTCATCAGGTGGACATAGCCTGAGCTGGGATGGAACTCAGAGTCTAGTGGTTTACGGCTGACGCCGTTAACACTATGCCACTGAGATCCGCGAGCAACGCTTAGTACAGCGTAAACGAATTCAAAGCTGGACTTGTAGAATCCGCTGTGTGGTTGGGTTGCTACAAGCAACCTCTATTGAGGCCTCGGTCCACTTTAAGTTGACCTCGGTTATTCCGATCACAAGCGCCGTATCCGCATTGGAGGTGTTTCGGTGTTTGTTCTCCCTACACTAGCACCTCATGACCGGTTTCGCCCCCCCCCCTCCCTATGGACGTCAGTTGAGGATCCTGAGCTATATGTGAAACGGCGCGTACTGTTTAGTTACTGACGCCTTGACAACTATGCTATTAATATCCGGGAGCAACGCTTTGCACAGTGTTTAGGAATTAAATGTTGTACATTTCTTCTACGGTCCTAGTGATCGGATTGACGGAGATCAACTTCAAAGTTAACTCAGGTCCAAATAGAGACTGTGTTTCGCAGTCGAACAACACGGCATGTAGTCCAACGCCTCAGTTTGTTTCCCACAATTTATCAGATCTTGGTATCTCATGCGTGAGCCTCCAGTCTGGTCCCTAACTCCTGCTCAGACTGATGCTGCACACTTCTGCATAATCCAAGTCGCTTTTGTGTGGTTAGACTCCCATGTCTTCATTTCTCGGTATATGGCCGAAGAAAAACTTAACTTGATGTATCGATTTGGTTGTCCAGACAGCAGTACCATCTCGGGTGGTCATTTTGTGGAAGAGATTGCTGCAATGCTTGGTAGGCCTGTGCTGTTTTCTCACCCCATTCGCCGTCTATACGGACGATGAATGCAGGTTTTCGGTTATTGGCAAGATTCACCATTTTGATTTGCTTCACCATGCAAATCATATTGAAGTCGCTGAGCGGTCTCTCCTTCCTTGCCACCATTGCCAGCGAAATTTTGTTCATGTGTGATGCGATTGTTCAGGTCTGGATTGTCCTGAATAAATTACATTTGGAGTTTCCCAGAGCTATCTGTTTACCTTGCGTCATGCACGCCCTACAAAATCATGTGCACATACTTGTGTGCAACTGAGGCGCTCAGCCGAGGGCCAAGGGACAAAAAGGTTTGAGTCTGTATCGAATTGTCTACTTTATTGTGTGGTACACGGAATCCATCACCAGCTGTGTCCGTGCATTCGGGTCCCAATTCTTTCAACGCATTCTGGATATTAGCGCGTCTCTTTACAGCTACTCGGTCTCCCGTCGGACGATCCTGCCATCCGTATCTCCCATCCTGTTTGACTATATTTGTTCTATTTCGTTCTCGCTTTCATGTTGTCACGGTATCTGACTCAATGAAGCTATGTCCATTGCACTTCATCGAATTGGTCAGGGCTGTTTGCCTAAACTGTGCTGCGGACTAAATCAGCTATCATCGCGTTCTGGAAAACGTTTTCCACGGCTACCTGATTAGTCTTTGCATGTGTGTTTTCCTGACGAGATTGTCGTACGCACAGAAACTGCTTTTGCGTTCACTTCCCTTGTGCCTGTTTTGTACCTTCCTTACCGGTACGCTAATCTTGCGCGGTTCGTTCGTAGTATAGAACTCATTCCTCATTTTAAGCGGCTTCCCACGGCAAAGTCCGAACGACACACATGATTCAACTAATAAATGGTATATTCTCGACAACTCGAGGCACGACTTCGTAGGCATGATCAGGAGGGCAAGCCTACACGGAACAATCGGTAAATGTACAGGAACGTTACAAGTTTACCGGTTCCAATGAACTCATGTTGTATGAATGCATATATGATGGTGTGTATATGATTGAGTGTGCCCCATGCTGAGGCTGATGTTGCATTCATGATGCTACTTCACCGCGGTTGGGCTAAACCAACTTACACTTAAATTAGGTCTTTTATGTTGGTTAAATTCATTCCGCTTTATTTGGTTTGTTCTGCCTACCTGAACAATCTTCTATTAACTTGCGCCCTTTGCTTACGCTTATTGTGGTTATCTTCGTTAACTTTATTGCATTTGTAGCATTTTTTGAATAACTTCTTAACCTTTTGTAATTATCGCGGATTCGTTGCTAATCAACTTATTTCATATGCTAATTTAGCGAAGTTATGTTAGCATAACCGTATGCTTTAACAGATATATTTTATTTGACAATGTCATTTCAAGTGATTGGCTGTTGTTTGATATCCCCGGTGTGGCTGCGCTTGGTGTGCATGTTTACAAGGTGCCTACCTGTCTAGTACCCACTACCTTGTATATACAGGCTCCTGGAGACAACTAGTCATTGCTGGAGAGAGAACGGGGTGCAGAATCCCTGTGGGCGTGCTAGGCTCGAAGAGTGGTTCCCTGCACTCAGTGTGGAGCGGACTACGGTCCAGCCACCGCTTTATGTGCGCTTGATTCCCCAAATACAGCGTGCTTGTGTTTGCCTGTGAAGGAGTGTGGGCCGGCTCCGTTGATGAAACGTGGGTCCATCCACATGTCTCCCGGTCTTGTTCCTTCGAGTTTACACTGGATATAGGGTGTGTGGTTGAAGCTGTGGATGATGCAGCGCAAGCCACCTATGGTCCCTCTGTAGGCGCAGGCGTCCTGTGGCTCACCACAGGCCATGTTTGTATTTGTAAATGTACCGCTATATTTGTGATTGTGTTCTGTCGGATCGTCAGAATGAGAAAGAACCAAGAAAATTCTTCAAAGTAGATGAACGACGTCCGCAGATTGCGTATGATCGTTTAGAAAGGCAAATTGCAGTGACTTTATCTGGTGGCAGGTCACATGCGCCACGTCGCAGTGTTGTCAAACTGACACAATCATATGTGACCCAAGTTCAATCGATTGCCTATTCGAATCTATCGGCAATTGACTCCTGCAAATCTATCTGCCCTTGATTCAATACGCATCGTTCGCACTCTTTCGTCTGCGATTTTTATAATATCGAGTGAACTCTGCACTAACAGATTTCGATTTAAATGTGCTGCTTAGCCCATCTCCAGTTCATGAAAATGAATACGTCTATAGTCCATGTGACTCTTAGCTATCGTTGACTGTTTCACGTTCTGAGTGACCAACCAGTGTTGGCTAGATGCGACATACGCTATGCTTCTTCTCTTCTTTTGAATTAACTCGACTTCAGCTGTATATTTCGATAATTTGCGTTCTTTTTGACGTATGTTAGCTGTCTAGATTGTTAACCGGCTGTCGTAGTTTTTTCAGAATAGTAGGGGGATTTCAGTGTTTCGGGGAAGTTCATCGTCGACAAACTCAGCTAGCCAGCACACATCCGGACTAGTGATGAATGACCAGTAGCTGGTATCCACACCAAATCCTGCTACATGACCTTCCCCTCACGGGTCAGTGGATTTAGCTACTGAGTCATAAGTGACAATGGTGGACTACCATAACTGATAACTGCCTGCGACATTGCGCAGCTCGTCTTAACTGGCACACACGTTACTGCTATGTAGCGGACAGAATTGACCCCAGTGTCACCACTTCCTCACCAAGCTGCCATTTACCTATCGATAGTATAAGGCAACGCGGACGACTTCTCATTGTTAGAGCGTAGTAAGAGGTTTTCGGTGTTTTGAGAATATTCCTGTTCTTATCCTCTATCCTGTTCTTATCTTCAGACGAAACATGGTGTTTTGTTCACATTTATAACTCTTGGATCAGTGACTTCTGGCCTCAGATATATATATATATATATATATATATATATATATATATATAAACAGACAGCCATCCGGAGAGCACTGTACAGCAGTTTCATCTTTCCAGGAGTCGTCAGCAGTGCGCATTCCCTCTGGCCCTCGAAACCCGCAACTGCACGGCAATAACATGCAGGTCATCTGCACGTTGTTGTTGTTGTTGTCGTTGCCGATTCTTCGATGTTGTTGTTCCTTATCATTATGCAGCAGACATGTCAGGCATCAGATTAGCAGCCCTCGTCATTATTTCACATAGCCTATTCCATTTGCTCAACATCGGGGCATATGTTAGCACCTCGGTTTTTCAGTGTAGACTGCGGTTTTTGAATGATTACCACGCCCTTCACCCCGAACACCCTACTGGCTCTCTAATACAGCACACCCACGGAAACTGTCCTACTTCTTTGATCGTCTTTTACTTACTTGTGTAAACAGTTGTTTTTCCTTCTGTCTTCAGAAGCTTCTCGAAGCACATCACTAACTCTACAGTGTGATAGCGACACTAGTTCATTTCCTTGTCTAGCATATTACTGCTAACTTGCTTTTTCCAAATAACTATGGTTTTTTCTCGTCTTTTTCTATACGGGGTCACTTCTTTCTCCGAACCTGACGACTTGCTATTCGTTACTTCTTAATTCTTAGTCCCTTCAATTTACTAAGCTGTGAATTGGAACCACTCTTCATATTTGAGAACGCTAAGCCGTCGGTGTGTTATGCTATGCGTTCTAACTATCGTTTTGCTTTAATTTTCATTGGTCTGTAGTCCAAGCAATTCATCTTAATCTCCCATCATCTTTATCCACTTCTCTCCTTACATGATTTCTCCTGTAGTTGTATGTGGAGCCTTTCCAAATAAACTCCCTGCTTCTCTTTCAGCGTGCCTTTGAGTTTGACTCACGAGAAGGAAATATTCTCACAATTCGCCATGATGTGTTAGAGGATTTCACCCGTTGTCATGAAAAAGACCAGGTAATAATGCATGCTATGTTTTTACCAACTATCGGCTGTTTCCACTGCTCCGTGTTGATCTAAGTTACACGCAATGTGTTATATAACCGATACACATGTTAAAATCTGGGCAATGGTACATTGTACCTTTTTTCTCTTCACTGTCATAGCGCCTCGTGTTATGTCATTTAGAGATTTTCGAGTCGTACTTTATCCTGAGGTCTGGATTGTGTGAGCTTTTCCCATATCTCTGTTAGTTAGCGTCATTGGATTTTTGAATTAGGTTTCAATCTGCAGATAAAACAGGCAATCTCTACTTCATGGACCCATATCATCCTTCCCCCTTTTATTCGCACCTGTACTTTGACTTGTGCCGTATTTTATCCACTAAACATGCCGAAAGTGTTTTTTATTCTTTTATCCATCCGGCTATAGGTCACTAGTTTTACCTTCTCTCTCTCCTATTTTCGTTTCTCTCCAGCAAACTGTTGGATTTTTGCACAATTTCGAATCCAACGACATACGCTACATCACGATTGACGGCTTCTCCAGTAGCATTTGGGCTATCACGCCGCCCTCCTACAAGGCACTGTTGCTCCTTTTGGCAGAACGTAACGCGACTCTACTGCTACATTTCCACATGCAATGCAGACGGTACGTATTGTGGTTTAGTTTCGCGAACATTTTGTCGTATCCGCACTTAGTCCGACAACCAGCACACAAATCCATCAAAGCGCTAGACGACCGTTTTGCCGTACTCTGGTTTACTTAGTGCATCGCAATTGGATTACAATTCAGCTGGACCCAATTACCAGTCCGGAAAACTACAAGACGATTGTTTCATCTTATTGGTGCTCGTCAGTTGTGTGAATTCCATTGGTCCCCTTAAGGGAACCGAATCCATTACCGTTGAGGGCTTGTGCCACTAGCCGGCAGCTTATGCCACTTAACCAGGGGCAACGATATCCGGCCACCACTGATTGATATCTAACTGCGATGTAACCCAATCCATCCTCCACTACAGTGAAGATTCCTGCTAGCGCAGAGGCCGGTGCTTCGCCCACAAGTGTCAAGACTCCCCTGTCATCTATGCTTTTTCTTCGAATCCCGTTGTATTCGATCACATGATGACTTTACTTCTACGAGTCGGCGATTCACGGCACTCTTGGCCTTAGGTGACGCTTGCAGATCACACAGGCAGACTACTCGCCGTGAGGTTGCACGACTCGTCCCGCGCTGTGCATAATTTGTGCTTATTCTGATACTTTTAACCAACACTCAATCTGATCGGAGAAGCGTTTGTTTTAGATCGGTTCTTTGCAGGGACACCGTATTTCTGTTCTGGCTTTTGCTTGTGCTTACCACGCATTCTACCTCGCTCTCTTGCTCTTTATCCCTACCGGCATATAAGCGGGAATACTCTATTCTTCTTGGATCAGAGACGGATACTTTCGTGTTACTCGTTTACTTCCGTTTGCTTAAGGGCTTTGACTACTCATGAGTAGACGGATCTGGAATGTTCTTTAGTTTATCACAATTAGATCACAAACTGGGAATGCCAACTGCTAATCCGGAAAAACACCAGACGGTCGTTTCTTCCTCTTGAGGCTGATCACTGGTATGCATCCTCTCGGTCTCCTTCAGATAACCAAAACCATGACCGCTGGCGAATTGCACCGCTAACCAGCAGCTTACGCCACTGAGCCATTTGGAACGGTAGCTGGTCATCATGGATTGAAACTTTACTGCGAAATGCGGCTCTAGGCTCCATGTATCACATCGCCATTGGGTTACTACTAATTAACCGTAACAAAACAAATGAGGGAAAAGCTGCAAAAAGTGACTGAAAATGAGTCAGGAAGACACTAACTATCTGATTGTGCACTTGGCTCACAACTGATGTAACCGTTCTCGAGGCATCATCCAGCAAGACGGCAAACGCGAGCCCAACCGTGGTTGTCGTGAGGTTTTGCCTTGTCATCCCGGCTGACCATCTTTCAGCTCTGCCCGACTGGATACAGCAACGATAAGCACCGTAGTGTTTGGGAATACAGTCGCGGGTATATGTGAGGATTATGACTTTGTCACTGGATACTCCCACTGCGTATGGGCAGTACTCACTCTACGAGCATCCTTGATCTCAAATGATAGACCCTTTCTTCAATGACAGTGACCAAATCCGTTTTCCTTATAGTAACACTGGACGCATCGTATAAGCTGCACTTCTTTTATCTTTACAAATGTTCCAGATTTTGGAAAGCCACACCGTCTTCCATCGCCAACCCTCTATTTTCCCTTTGGATCACTTCATGCACTTAGTTTGTATGGCAGGGCGGACTGCGTCAGTCAGGCTTCGACCTGGATACTGCGCTTTATCGAATTAGAATACGCCTAACGTTGCATGTCTCTTACTAATGATCTACCAAATTCACATTCCTTTATTGCACTATTTTCCCGTCACCTGCCCTCAATTTCTCCTTTGTCTTGTTTACTGCTCAGGACTTTCGTATTTGTTTATTGACCATTTTAACTTATAGAGTAGCATATCTTTTGGACTTACTCCGTAACAATTGCGCTACACCTCCAGGTAACATACCAACACTCTCTAGCTCACTTGCTGATATAATTCGATTTGACATACCTGAATACAACCTATTTGATTTCAGGAGACGAAACAGGTGTTCGAAATAAATACAATCCGTGACTTCGATATACTCTATCACACCACCGTAAATCACCGAAATCACCATGATTCCTCTCTTGGGATTTGTAGCGTTCGTTGTGGGATTCTATGATGCATGTTCCCCCGGAATACATTGACTTAATTTTTGTTCTTCCCTCATCCTTGTGGTAACGCTACCTGTGCCTTAACACTTACGGTTTATCGCTAAGTGAGTTATGGTATCGCCGTTCCCAATAATGACCACTACCGAACGTATCTGACGTTGACACGGTATGTACGAAGGATGTTATCGGCATCTGTTTAGTTCTTCTCACCGGCTGATGCATTCATTAGTTGTTATGGGCCTAAACTCTTTTACTAACGCACTGGTGTAGTTGCGACTACTGTGAACTCACGCAATAAAACCGATTTTCTTTTGTTTCCGTCTGACCATCACGACAAGCCTGAGTGTTCGCTTGACGCCATAGTCCAGATTCCTCAATGATCTAACGGGATATACTAGGCATCTCTGGATTATTCATACTCACCCAATTCAGTGGATAGAGTTCGGTCAAGTGCCATCTTGGAAACAACATTTCTGCTTGGAGAGAAGTCGGTCATCTTTCCCTTTGGCTATGACGAATAGCTCTTCGCAGTTCATTGCCTCATCTTGATTGATTTATGCACGATCGCTGTTTTTGACTGGTGTGCACACCCGGTTCCTCATTGGTTTTCTATTTCCCGCCTCAAACCAAAAACCCGGGAGATAGTTTAATGCTGCTCCCTTGAAATCCCTCTTGGTTTACCGTGATACAATGTGTAGTATGTTATGGCTAAGTACTCCAGTGTTGTGTCTGAACATGTACGCATACTAGCGATGTGACTCCGGTGTCCAGTCTCCGCTGGTGTGGTATGTTTTTACTTTTTCAGCATATACTACACCAACTGCAGACGATTAGCTCTTACCTCTAGTTGGGATGGTCAGATTGTGTGGGTACCACGATTCTTGTGGCTATGGGCATTCAAACGGATTTCTTGTCCGAGTCGAATTCCTTTTCAGAGGTCATTCCTATATCGTCACTCGTCGGAGCAATTGTTCTACCGTTTTTTTTCTCGATGAATCACTTCCGTTCACGCACCCGTTGATGTTCACAATTTACTAACCAATAGTTGCCTATTCTAAGGCCGACGATACAACCGGATGACGATACTTATGGGTCCCGTGCTAAAAGCCAAGTCATCTGTGCTTCAGAGTTCTAAGTAATCACGTCCCAACGCTAGATTTTTGATGAGGAGATCAAACGACATATTTTGCAACCCAATGCAAGGAGTGATGAGATTGCATTCGTTATAGAATGTTGGTCTTTGGATAGTCCGGCATATGTTGCTGTAAATGCGCCTGAAAGTGGCCACTGATCATAAGCCGCTAACTAACAAAAGCGCGCAGTTCACTGCGTCAATTTGCGCTTCAGATCCATGCAGTGATTGCTTAGAAATCAGGACTTTCTTTTGCATTAGGACACTTTTTATACCCTTGAACGTTTGTCGCGTTCTGCGAGTCCTTGCGTAAATGCACTGCTATTTGACTATTACCGTTCAGCCATCCCATTAGTATCTGCGCGTTGTTGGTTTTTGGTGAAAAATCTCGCGGCGTGAACCAGTCCGCACGAGTACCGATGACTGTGTACTTACATTCGTCGTATCAATTTATTAGCTCTCTCAACAGATTTCGAAAGACGAGAGGTTTTATTGCTTCTCGTTCTCTATCATAACCAGAACGTAACACTGACTACTTTGAAACACATAGTAAGAAGCATCGCAGAGCCTCCAGCACTTCATCAAAGCGCCGGTGTGCACTTCCATCTCAATCCACTGACTTACACTTTGGAGATCCGGTTATATTTGTTTGCCACCGATGCTCATTCTATGTCTCTCCCTTTAATCATTGTGGTCGTTTATCTGAGGTGCAACCTAGATCTGTAGTTGTGTTTACATAAATCAAACTGAGACTTGCAGCCTGATGTATACGATATGTCATTTTCGTCACAATTTAGATTATCTTTGCTTTCTGAGCTTCTCTGCCAATGCAGCCTGCTTGTCAGTGACACCCGTGTATTCGCAGACCTCAGTAACAGCTGCGCATATTGATGCTCCGTATGGCATGAATCGTTTCCGCCAACTAGTGTTAATTACTGCTACGGTTAGCGGCATCCGGTTTCAGATTTGCCTGTGGCGAGCCACAGGACGCCTGCGCCTACAGAGGGACCATAGGTGGCTTGCGCTGCACCACCCACAGTTCCATTCACACACCCCATATCCAGTGTAAACCCGAAGGAATAAGACCGGGATGGGAGCCACGTTTCATCAACGGAGCCGACCCACGCTCCTTCACAGGCAAACAAGCACACTGTATTTGGGGAATCAAACGCACACAAGGCGGTGGCTGGACCATAGTCCATTGCACACTGAGTGCATGGAACCACTCTTCGAGTCTAGCACAGCCACAAGGACCGTGCACCCCGTCCCCTCCAGCAACGACCAACTGTCTCCTGGAGCCAGTATGGACGAGGTAGTGGGTAATAGACAGGTAGCCAGCTTGTCAACATGCACATCAAGCGCAGCCACACCTGGGATGTCAACCAACAGCCAATCATTCGAAACGCCGGTATCAAATAAAAGGTATCGATTATAGTAAATATATATGCAGACACTAATCCTCGCTAATTGAGCATATGGAGCAAATTGATTATAAGCGAATTCGCGATCATTACAAAATGTCCAAACATTATTTTAAAAAATTCTACATGAAAAACTTACGCAAGTTTAACACAATTAGCATGAGCGACGTGTCCAAGTTAGGAAAAGATGATCAGGTACACAGAACAAACCAAATAAAGTGGAATGAATTTTATCCACATTAAAAAAACCTAGTTTAATTGTAAGTTGGTCTAGACCAACTGAGATGAAAAAGCACTTAAACGCAACATCAGCA